TTTATCAAGGACCTTTTTAAATGGTGGCTGTTTTAGCAGGGGTAGATTTCTTTATAATACTATTGTTGGTAACTGAAGTGGTTTGAAGAATGCCAGGAAATGGAATGGAAATTTTATCTGATATGGGAAAAAAAAGGTAAAAAAAAAATTCCTTGCATTTTTTGGGAAATGGTGCATTTTAATCTCAATTCAGCAGGAGGGATATTTCCATGCCAGGATCTCCCAGCTTCTGTCAGTTCCAGAGGTCGCTGGCTGCAGGTTCCCATGCTCAGCCCCACATTCCCATGCTCAGGCATGGGATCCTTCCTGGATCCCAGCCCTTCATTCCCTTCCAGCCCCACTTTGAGTGCTGGGTCCATCAATACCTCTCTGCTGCATGAACAATTTGCTTGATCTGCAGAGATATTCCCAGCAGGACATTTTTCCCCAATGAGTCACTCTGCCCTAAATTTAACCTTCTGGATACTGTGGATTTTTTCTAAAAATTTCTTTACAAAATATAATAGCCCAGCTAAAGCTTTTATGAAGTATTTTCCAGTCACTTAGTGGCCAAGCCCTCTGACTAGTTTGTATTTCAGCCCAGAATACCTTTGATAATCTTTGCCAGTATCCAGTGTTGGTGGTCTTAAAATTCTACAACCGAGTGGAAAGCTGTTAAGTGCTCAGACTTCAGAGCATGCCTAATTAATTCTTTCCAGGGTTTTAGTCCTTTAAAAAGTGTTAAAAACACGGATTCAGTGTATCATTGAATATTGCATGGTTCTGTGGAAATAAATTGCATCAATTTGATTCTTTCAGGAGTTCAGAGAGTTTTTGCTCTGTGCTTACTCTGGAAGTTTACAGGAGACTGTGGAAAGTTCAGGTTAAAATGGGTAAAAGTTGTTAATGAGGGGGAGCAGCTCGATGGCAAAGTGAGAGCCCGAAAACCACATCAGAAAACTCTCTGCAAAGGCATCAATCAGATGCATTTGAAAATCAGGCAAAATCTCCCCTGCACTCAGAACTCCAAAAGCATTTTCCTCATGTGAACTTCACTATTTTTATTTTGAGCAGAAAACCACACTTGTGTTTATTTTATTTCACAACTGCTTAAGGAGATTATAATGACTTAATCCTGGAAAGGGTTTGCAGCGCTTGAGAAGCAGGTGAGGCAAATTTGAGCTTTTTTCTCTCCTGACATCAAGTCCTGGAGGGGATTCAGCCTCAGAAGAACCATTAAGGATCTTTCAACATCCAGGCTTATGTGCTTCTTCTGAGAGACGTGGAGACGGGAGAGATGAAAGAGGAGCATGAGATGGAGATGAACTGGAGATTATCATTGTAATGCAGAATTAAAGGGGCAAATGGCAGCACTGATATCTATTGCTCTCCCTTCCAGCACAGCTCAGACTGGGGGCTTGCTCTTTGTGAAACCATTGGGGATGTTGGTGGTTTTCCAAGGTAAAGCTGGCAGTGCTTGGGTGCTTTTGTTGTGGTCTGGTTGGCTTTGCTGTCCTTGGTGTCTTCTTGTTCTGAGGTTTGGGGAGAAAAGAGTGAAAGAAGGGACTTGAGAGAGATTCACTCACCTACCTAAGGAAACACCACATGGGATGTCTTTTGGAGCAGGGCAGATCACAGAACCATGGAATCATTTAGTTTGGAAAAGCCCCGTGGAGCTCAACCATTCCCCCAGCACTGCCAAGGCCACCACTGGCCTGTGTTCCCAAGTGCCACCTTCACAGAGCTTTGAAATCCCTCCAGGGATGGGAACTCCACCCCTGCCCTGAACTATTGCAGGATTTCACCACCCAGGATCGTCAGGCCAAGCTCCATTGAAGAAAAGTCTGCAGATCTCCAAAGGTAGCCCTGGAAACTCATCTCTTTATCAAATTCCAAGAAATCCTATGCTTTCTGCACAAGAGAGTGAAAATATGTTGATCTATCTACATAAAATGTAAATTTTTCTGTGAGCATGGATCAAACTACAGGAAATAACAACACAGACTGTGCTCATGGAGTCTTTGATCAATTCAAAGGTAAAACACCCAATTCTGTGAAAAATCTGAGCTGACTTGCCCCAGCTCCTTGCTAGAGTATGTATGTTTTGGAGAGTCACAGTTTTGGTTTGAAAGCTTAAGGGAAAACATAGAATCCTCAAGGTCTATTAGGAATGAATAAAATGCTCAGGATGCAAGTTTCCTTTCCATCCACTGAAGTCCTGGAGCTGCCCATGCTGGCATTTGACCTCTGTGGATAAGAGGATGCTGAAGGCAGGTCCCTGCTGGCACCAGGAGAGGCAAGGGAAGAAAGGAGGGGCTGTTTTCCTTGGGAGGAAAATGGTATTTGTGTCTGCCTTGGCATGGAATGTGGTGCTGGGTGGTTAATTCACCCCCCTGGCTCTGGTGGGGCATTCCAGAGATCCCAGCACAGACTCCAAAGGACAAATATCATCATTACCACTCTCTACAGGCTGTGGGAGAGACCACACAGGTTTCATTGTCCAGGAATTTTTTTGGATTCTGAAGGTGACGAGGATGTGCTGGGGGCTGTGACAAGGAATCACAGAATCATCCTGGAATCACAGGATGGTTTGGGCTGGAAGGGGCCTCAGAGATGATCCAGTTCCAAACCCTGCCACGGGCAAGGACACTTTCCACTGGACCAGGTTGCTCCAATCCCTGTCCAGCCTGTCTTTGAAAAGAAACACCTGTCAGGAGTGAGATTTCAGTGCCCAGAGACACATTTCAACCTTGGGAACTCAATTCCTGTTCCACAGCCTCAGAATTTGGAGGATGTTTGGCTGGGCACAAGGCATCCTGTGAAGAGCCAAGGCTGGGCACCAGCAATGTTCTGCCTCAGCCACACAGGGTTTTTCTGCCAGTGGGACCCAGAATTTCTGAGGACACTTCCAAATGGCAAACAGCACTAACTGAGGATGTGCAGTAGCACAAAAACAGCAGTGCCAAATACAGCTGGCTCAAAACACACCCAGAAATGTGGAAGTGTGCATTAATCCCTTTTAAAAAACAAAAATACACAAGTGCCCACTTTGCATTTTAATTTTATGTAATTGCAGTGTGGGCTACAAAAAAAAATCCTCACTCCTGGTGTGCAAATCCTTATTTTCACCCAGCTCCTGTGAGCAGTGCCAAACTCCTATCAGTCATGTCCAGCTTTGAGGAGATCACAAGAAGAGATGGCAACCAATTGTCACTGTAACTTCAGCCAGGTTTAGCCAGGATTGTGATAATTAAATGGCTGATTGGAATGGCACTAATTGATTATTTAAGTGATGGCTAAGTTGTACTTTTTATTTAATCAACCATTTTATGTTCACTAAAAAGAGCAGCAGTGACTGGGAGATGGGTGTGTTATTGCTGTTCAAAACTATGGAAAAAGAGTGACTATGCTGGGATGAGGTGGGAAAGGGTAATTTGTGTAGGAATGGGATGAGTGGAGGTTTAGGGAAGGTCACAAGAACCTACATGAAAATCCCCAGCAGGAGCTGGGAGTGTTTCCAGTGGAATGGCAGGACGATGGGATGGGCAGGGTGTGTTTATTCCTGCAGAATCCCGGCTCTGTGGCTGAGTTGTGACCCTGAGTGATGGTAAGTCTGCACCCTGTCCCAGCTCTCCTTTCTCCCTGTGGCTGTGAAGGGATTGCTCTGGATCCTGTGGAATTCCTCACATGCTCACAGTCAGGTTAAACCAGGACAGTGAGGGAGAGAGGTCTAATGTTATTTAACAGCTACCCCTGCAGTATTTAAGAAAGACAGTGCAGAGGATAAAATAAATTATTATGATTTAAATTCTGTTAGATAGAAGCACAACAGAAGATTGATAACATTCATCACTCTGTATGCCTCAATAAGAAGTGTAGTCAAAATTTTTCCCAATCCTCTCCAGGTTCCCCAACCAGTTTGCAGTTGCTTTGAGATACCCATATGTTCACAGGTAACTTTAAATATTAAATTGATTTGGAAATTAATTTGGCAACACGAATTCCCATAGGATAGGGATGTCAATATCATCACCTTCCTGCCTTGTTTAGAGCACGCCATGACTAAGGCTAAGGTTAGAAAATCAGAATTTGAGTTTTGACTGTAATTTAAATTTCTTCTCACAGCCTCTTGGCATGTCACAGGAATATAGTTATTGCCCTACAGAAATTATAATTTTCCTAGTCTGGCATCCCCTCCCTGGCAGTGATCTACAGCAGAAGCTCCAGCAGAAACAAAAAACATTAAGAAGCAAATGGCAGTGAAATTCCATGCAGGAACGTCCTTGCTCCCAGGAGACACTTCTCCCACAGCAGGCTGGCTGGGTGGGAGGGTATGGATCCATATAATCCACTTTTCTGTGGCAGGAAGGAGAACAACATTTACAAACAACTGCAGGACATCCCCGGTGTGCCCGTGTGTGCTCCTGGCTGGATGCTCCATGGGGACCCGCCTGGTGCAAAGGTGTTGACTGCAACCCTTCCAAGAGGACTGGGATATTTAAGATCTCCCAGTGTTTTAATGTTTTTCTTGCACCCCTGGGGTTATTTTCTGTAAAAGCCACGTCAGAGTTTTGCTCAGAGGAAGAAGGAGACGCGAATTCCAGCAGTGCCATTTGTGGGGACACAGTGAGAGGTGTCACCACCGTGGCTGAGGACACCAGGGGCTCCACGGTGTGGGGAAGACCTTTGAGTCCACCTCGGGGAGGGACTGGAATAACTCCCTGCTGTTCTGGGAATTCTGCATTTGTGACCCAGAGCCGTGTGTCCCCATGGATGGCTTGTGCTCTGCCTCAATAACTGCTTGTCACGACCCTTAATGCCACAGCTGCTCACTCACACCAGGTCATCTGCTTTTAATAGTCCTACTCCACCACCCACTGAAACTCACACCAGCCAGGGGATCATTATCCACATCCAAAAATAGCATTTCTCTGGCCCCGCTCTCCCAGAGCCCCGGGAAACTTGGGGGTTTTTCCTGCTTTTCTGATTCCCAGTTGTGCTGGTTTCGCCCCTGCTGCCCCATGAAGGCTGGAGCAGCCTCCCTGGCAGCTGGCATCCTCGGGGGCACCGGGGTGCTGCTCTTCCTCATCGCCTTTGGGACGGATTATTGGCTTCTGGCCACGGACACCTGCGGGGTCTTCGAGCATGGGAACAGCACTCTGAGCACCGGGGGGGTGAGCTCTGAAATCTTGTGCTTTCAAAGAACTTACCTAAATCATTTCAGATCTAAAATTTTGAAATCTGTGGTAATATTAATGCTCAGTGAAAGTGACCTGTTAATGCAAAACGTCAGCCTGAGGTAAAACTTTCAGTTCTTTAAAATCCAACTCAGCTTTTCCATAATATTGAGCATTTTGACTGGAGTAAATTGTGTCTAGGAAATATTAAGACGGCACCTCTGTAATCTGGCAGATATGAACATTAGAGAATGAAAGGCAAAAATGTAAGAGCTTTAGTTGTTGACAGCATTTCCCTCTAAAGACAAAAGATATCTCCTGATATTTGCCATTAAAAGATTTCTCCCTGTGTAGTTTCTTCATTTAAAACTAGTTCATGTTTAAAAGTGTGGGGCTTGGCAATCACTTCCATCTGAAGCAATACAGCTGCAGCACAGACACCAAACAAAAGTGAACATCAGACACAGAGCAGACAGGTTCCTGTCCATCCATTCAGTGGCCTGCATTTCCTCAAAGTAAGATTTCTATAGGATTTTAGTTAGCAGGAAATGTAATTTTCAAGGGACAGCTTGCTCTTTTAATGCTAAGGGCTGGTGTTGCTCGTTTATGGATCCCTCAAGTTGGATTTTCTCTGCACTTGCTGTTGTCTAACTCTTCAATGAAATAACAACCAGATCAGTTCCTCGAGCCACCCACTCCCCCGAAATGTTTTTGTGCCAATCAATGTGTGGTTTCCATTACTAAATGACAGGAAGATCCTTGTTGTGTGCAGACTTTTTGTTACTTCAAAGTTCAATCCAATTAGGTTTGATTTTTTTTTTTTCCTGGTGCGGTGAGTCACCCTGGCTAAGCATCATGATGCCAGCAAGAAATATTTTTCCTTCATTTCAGAATCCCATAATCAAATGTAGGGCACTGTTTGCTTGAGTCATGGTTCCATATGACTTTCCCAACCAAAAAAAAAAAAATTATGATGGAAAAAATGCCTGGAGAAGTGAAACAGAAGACAGGGTCTTTAGTTTCAAGCAGCTCAGTAAAGCCTGGGGATGGCAGAGACAGACAAGTGCCACTTGTTTTTTGTGCACTTGGGAAGTGACAGTGTTAATTGTTTCATGTTTTAGTTGTTTTTGAAAGTGGAGAGAGCAGAGATGATGCACTGCACGACACGAATAAGCATCTCAAACATTTCAGAGATGCTCTTGGCCAAGTGTTGGGGAGCCTGATGTTGAGGCAGTGACTTCAAAAGCACCAGGCAGAAATAGGAACTGCTCTTACTCTTCCCTCTGAGCTAGTTTATTTCTATTTTAAACACTGTTTCTATTATTTCTATTTCTGTTACTGGTTGTGGATAACAGGTTCTGTTTCTGCCTTCTCTGCCCCTTCTTAAACTGTCAAATCCTGTCCCTTACAGATAAGGATGGGCTGAGTATCTGGCAAACTCGGTGAAATGTGCTGTGGATGCACCAAGTCACAGCCACCAGCTGAGGAGGTTTCAGGGCTGAATGTTCCTCTTGTCATTGTCAGGATTTTATCCTGGAAGTGAAAGGAGGATCAGGTCAGAGCTCAGGAAGCTGCTATAACGTGATGCATAAAAACATCGAGTGAGGGAAGCAGAAGATCTCTGGGGAGAGCTCAGAGCCCCTCCCAGGAGAGCTGGAGAGGGATTGGGGACAAGGGACAAAGGCTTCCCTATTCCAGAGGGATACTGGAGAGAAATTCTTCCCTGTGAGGCCCTGGCACAGGGTGCCCAGAGAAGCTGTGGCTGCCCCTGGATCCCTGGAAGTGTCCAAGGCCAGGTTGGACAGGGCTTGGAGCAACCTGGGCTAGTGGAAGGTGTCTCTGCCCATGGCAGGGGGTGACACTGGATAGGCTTTAAGGTCTCTTCCCACCCAAACCTATTAACCTGTGACAGGATAAATACCTCTAGCACCTCCCTGCTGACTCCCATCTCCTTTGGTTCACAGGGCAGACTCCTCTATGGACATTCCCCATCCATCATAAAACTTAATTTTGTCAGAGTCCTGTCTCCTTTACCAAACTGTGTGTGAAGAAGATAAAACTTTTGAGATAATTTTAATAATAAGATAGCAGGAAATAAGATAATAAGGTTTTGAGATAATTTTAATAAATCCTTTGGTAAATCTTCCATGAATGAATTTTGCAATGTAGTCCCTTCAGGAAAGACCAAAATCTTGTGCTTTCAGGTCTGGTCTGGGGGATGGAGGAAGGTGTTTGAGAAGTAGAAAACATCCAGAAGGCCCAGCTGCCTGAAATTCCCATCCAGCTCTGGCCAGCAGGGTTTGAGGTGGTGAATGGTTTGTGCAGGTCTGCAGGACAGTTTGTTATCAGAACTGTGACACGGCAGAAAACCAAGGACAGCAGCTCCTCCGTGTTCCCCAAAACCCTCCAAAACTGACTCAAAAAGCAACGGAAAAGAAAAAATTAAATCAATGTCTAAGCAAAGCATACACTCTTGGTACCATTCTTTCATTGCTCCCCAGGCTGGAACTCCGACAGAGGCTGGGAAGGAGATGCTCACGTTCCACCACGAGGGTTTCTTCTGGAGGTGCTGGTTCTTTGGGGAGGGCCACCCCGAGTCCATCTGGACCTTCTGGTACAGTGAGTACAATCCAGCACTCTGTGTCCACAGCCTTCCCTCACAGCTGAATGGCAAACAAACAGAAAGCGCTCCCCTCCTGGGGATGCTAAGACAGTTTTTATTTCATTCTTGTTATTTTCATCTTCTGTCAAAAGCAAACCTGGCTCACTCTTTTTGTGCCCTTTCTGTGCTCATGATTTGATTTGGGTTTTGCTCTCAGAGAGCTTTTCACAGAAATGTGGCCACCTCTTGAGGCCATTTAATTTTTCACCTATAAAATTATGTGAAGTGGGGGCTTCCATCACCCTTCCTTCCTCCCCTCCCTCCCAACACCTCTTGATGTTTGTGTCCAGCAAAGTTCTGTAAACGTGAGCCCATGCCCTTCCTGGCATTGCTCTTCTGTCCCTGTTTTCTGCCTTCCAGGTGCTCAGCATTCCCAGATCCCACTGCTTTCAGCACGTTCATGGTGTCCCTGGGTGCTCAGGACACCATGGAAAGCCATTTTATTTTCAGATCTCACCATTTTGTACTTTTTAAGATCATTGAAATTACACTTGAGAACAAACAGAGAGGGATGCAAAATCCTTTATTTTTTGGAAAGCATATTCACTCTTCAAAAACAAATTGAAGGAAAGGGTGAAACCTGTTCTGTGACACTGCTTGGTGGCCTTGGTGCAGTGAAGGGTTGGCCAAGTGAACCAGCAGGAATTCCTGCTGGTGCTCCCAGCAGAAATAGGGAAATATTGAGACCACACCAGGCACAACCCCTACAATTCCACAGTAGGATTTGGGATAAAACCCCCCCAGATTTTAAATAAGTTCTGCAAAGGCTTTGAACACCACAAAAAATCCTTGGCCCTGTGCCCTTGATGGAAGATGTTCCTGTGGCTGAGGAGCAGCACAATCACCTCGAGGCCACTTCCCTGCAAATAATGCAGGTTCCCACACTGAATTTACTCTGCAGTGATTAAAATTTCAAATGACTTCGCTGTCCCCCAGCCCCTGACCTGTTTCCTGTAAAATCTTGCAGGAATTCTTCCTGCCACAATTCAACTGAACAATGGGAGGTTTTTCACACGGGAAATTTGTGATAATAAAGGACAGGCTTGAGACAGGGAGTTTGCTACTAAATTACATTATATGGAAATACATAATATAATTTTACCTGAAGTAAAATGAGTCACTCTGATAACTGGCAAATTTTTTGCTACTTCTTTAGGTATTTATTATAATAGGATTGATCATGGCAAATTAATTTGCTGCTCTTGTGGATGTAATAATTAATTCAATAGGTATTCCATAGTCAATTTAGCATGAACTAATGTCCACCTATTATAAAGTGCTCCTTTGAGCTGGGGAACATATTTAAATAAGTGGCCAACCATTAATTAATTCATTTAACATTCATTCTATTACTGTTAATCATGATAAGCCTCAGTGGTATTAATATTGATGGGCCACTTCCATTCTAATTGTGCTTTTCCTCCTCACCAGCTGGAGGTCTTGGAAGTACCTTGTTCTGGTACCCAAATATTTTGACCCTTCCAGGTGGTCAGGCACATTCTCTGGAGAAAACAGCAATGAGAATATTGACACTGACTTCAGTTGTTCCATCTTTCATGATTTTTGTGCACCTCACACTCAGGTTATGAAGATGACAAGGTGTGCAAGAAGCAGTCTCAGATCCTCTGATCTCTCGCCTCTTTCATAGTTCTTATTTTTAATTTTAATTTTTATTTTTATTTTTATTTTTATTTATTTTTTTATTTTTTTATTTTTCTCTCTAACCCAGATTGATTATCTTTTTTTCCTCCCCAGACTTCTGAGGGTTTTGCACAACAGCACATCACCATCTCAGTACTGTAACTAACTGTAACAGGAAAAAGCAAACAGGGGTTTAATTCTTCTTTTTCTTCATCTTCTCCAGCCAGCCAAGCACACCCCAAGTTCTGCATGCATGGCTACCTCTTCCCCATGCCCATTGCTGTGGGACCTTTCCCCCATCCCTCCTATGACACCACTGCAGGTGAGTTTCTTTCCTTCTCCCCCAGCAGCTCCTTTCCCAAGGGATCAGGCAGGGATTTGGGATGTGTGTGAGCACTGTGGTTCTCCTGTTGTAAATTCACACGGCCAAGCCAGGCCCAGAGCTTTGGAGAGCTCCTTCACATCCTTGGTTGGCTGCCCCAGGCACTTATTGAGGGGTTATTTTGTCTCCTTTCTGCTGGGATGGGCTGTGCTCCCTCCCAATGGGTGCTCAGGAGGATAAATCCATTCTCTCCCATCTCCTCTCCTATTGGGAAGAGCTGGAGCCAGACAACCCAAACCCAGCCCAAGAATCTGGTTTCCTGGGATAAATCAGGTGCTGATCTGTTGCAAGACAAAATAAACAAACACTGGAAAATTGGTTAAAGACCAAATTGTTAGAAAATCCACCTAAGTGACTGGCTTATTTTTAAAGCACTGAACACTAAGCAGTTGGAGAGCTCCCTTTCAACTGGGTCTCTTTTTATTTATGTTTCTCTATATTTTCCGAGTTCTTTAATGAATCAGCTGCTGTTAGGAATTTTAATTTGCGAAATTGGTGGCAGCAGTTAGAATTAATTCAATGATCTTTTTTGAAATGAATTGATTTCTTTAAATAGTGTGCATCAGTCTGCCTTGCCTCCAGGGATGCAGGGGCAGACGTTCTGCACAAACAAACATCTTGACCTTTTCCTTAGCCTTTAGTAGTACCTTTTTTTTTTTTTAGTTTTTATTTTATTATTTTTTTTCCTACGAAAAATTAATTAAAAATAAAAATATTGCCAGTAGGAGCATGTGAGGGAGGGAAGCTCGTTTCTTTGGCTGTGCTGTGCAGAATTCCTGCCCGGGGAATGCTCCGTGGTGTCAGATGGATACGAGGGACCTGTGGAGGGAGGAGGAGGAGGAGGAGGATGTGCAGCAAACACCCGGGATAAATAAACAGTGGGATTGTTTCTGCTTGGGAGAGACGGGCACAGCGTCCAGGATCTGGATGATCCCGCTGATAAACACATGCACTATTTTTTCCGTGCTAAATAAAGGGCGCTGGTGGCATCTGTCCCTGCCTGTCAGCCCGGGCTGTGGAGCCCTCCCCAGCTGCCTCCCAGATGTGTCCCCTGGGACACTCCCGGCACCACTCGATATTCCCAGAGGTTCTTTTCCAACCCTCGTGGTTCTGTCAAGGTGCTGGGGAGGGGGGGCTGCACAGGCTCTGCCTGTCCCCATCACCTCTGGGGACATGGGGGTGGCTCAGCCTCCACAATTTGGGCACGGGGAGCACCGGGCTCCTCCTCTGCCCCAATCCTCTGCAAAGCCCTCTTGGGAGCAGCCACTTCTGTGGTTAACTCCCTTTTCTTCCCGACCAGCCCATCCTCATTTGCAGCCGCTGACAAAACAGGAGGCTGTCCAAGGAGAGGGGTCCTGCAGCTATTACCTGCTCCAGAGATAATTCTGCCTTATCTGCATCCTCTTAGGCTCCCTGAGAGAAACGGGTGACGGGAGGTTAAACATGAAAATGAATTCTGTGGTTTTGGAGAGTTCAAGATACTTATCTCTCCCTAAGTGGCTCTCCTGACAAAATGGTTTCAAATGAGGAAAACGCATCTTCTCTGTATCATTTTTCTTTCAAGTGTGAATCATTTCAGCACTACCCACTTGCTCATGCTCAGCTTAAATTGAACTGGAGCTTCTGGAAAATGAGTGGCAGGGCGAGATGTGGTGGTCCAAGGGATGGGATAAATCAGGGGATGCGGAGCAGAGGGTCTCTGCTGGAAGACCTCTACCTTTGGATGAGGCTTATGGCAGTGTCTGCAAGACACTTGGCTACTGGGAGGCTTAAATTAGTGGGCTACATCCCATCCTGCTCCATCTGCTGGGATGTGATGGACCAAGCTTGCTCAGCTCTGCCTGGGGTGAAGTATGAAGTCACAGCCAAGCCCCCAAATTCCTTGGAGGGAGAGGCAGCTGCTCCCCTGCCCCATCCCCTTTCCCAGAGTCAAACAAGGCCATTAATGGGGGACCTCATGAGCTCCTGTTTTCCCTGCAGTCCTGCTACCAAACACTGTTTTTATTTTAAACCAGGAGCCTGGCACCTTCCCGAAGTGTTAATTAAAGTGGAACAAAGCTGTGGTCTGAATCCACCTCTCCAAATTTTGCTTTCCTTTCTTGCCAAGCTTTTCCAACCTCCTCCAGCACAGCCAAGAGCCGTGTCCTTTCCTCCCACCCCTTTTTTTTTGGTGTGCTTCCCTGGCAAACCTTCCCAACCCTTTGGCCTCATTCCAGTGCCATTCTGTAGGGCATGACATTCCCCCTGAACCCGTGGCTGTTCCAGGTGCCCTGGCAAAGCTGGAGCCTCAGCTCTGCCTGGCACAGCAGCATCACAAGTTGTTTTTCCTCTTGCTAAAGCAGGAGTTAAACATGGCATCGTTAAGAAAAAGATTTCTGAGGTTGAAGAAAGCCTCTCTCCCTCTCCTGTCACTGTCTTTGCTCCTGTTGCAGTGTACAGAGGATTTTGGACAGCATTCATCCTGCTGGCCGTGGCTGCTGGGCTCGTGGGGGGATTCCTGCTGGTGTGTGGGGTCCCCTTCTCCAGCCCCCACTCCTACAAAGTTGGGGGAGGATTCCTGCTGCTCTCAGGTGAGGGGACACGGCTGGGGCAGGGTGGCTCTGGAATGGGGACAGGTGGGGCTGAAGTTCTGCCACAGGAGATGGGGCTCTGGTGTAAATTATTCCCCACTGGAATTAAACACCTGGGAGCTCTGAGCAGCCTGGTCCAGTGGAAGATGTCCCTTTAAGGCCCCAAACCATTCTGGGATTCTGGGATTCTGGGATTCTGGGATTCTGGGATTCTGGGATTCTGGGATTCTGGGATTCTGTGCTCAGCCAGGCTTTAGCAAGATAGTCCTTAGTCCTAGCAAGGCTGAGATTTTTGAAAATCACTTTGTTTTTACTATTCCTCTATGCAACCCTTTTATTTCAGTAAAGCCTGCAGGTGTGTTAAGCCTGGGCAGCATCAGCCCAGCTCAGTTCCCCAAAGTCAGGCTTTGCATTTGGGCTGCTCCTGCCTCTGCTGTTAGCTTTGATAGAGCTGGAAACCCACGGAGTGATGAAAGGCAAACCTGATGATCCAAAATGGGAGGGCTGGCTTAAGGAGACCTGAAAAGATGAAACGATGGCACTGCAGGAAAATGAATTAAAAATAGGCATTTATTCATTTTTCCCACTGCTGTTACCAATGATTCCACTGAATTATCGCTTGGGCTTTTTCCTTTTCTGTATTTGAGAGGAATAACTGGCTTCAGTAGTAGAAATACTTGATTTATACCAGTGACTCAAACTCAGAAAAAAGCTCTTTTATGACTCAAGCAGCCACAGGCTGGAGCTCAGTTGAGCTGCGCCAAGTGAAGAACTTTGTAATGGAATCAGGCCTTTCTCTGAAAAACCACTGCTTAATTGCAGATCCTTCACCACCTCCTGCTTCATCATATCTGGCATAAATTACACAAGACGCTGTCTTTGTTCTCAGTTTATGGTTTAAGTGAGCCCAAATTTGGGGGGGCTGCAAACATTAGTGATAATATTTAACAAGAAAGGTCCTGACATTGACCCATGTCCACATGTACACAAGTTTTAAGTTCCTCCAAGGGTAGTCATTCTACCCTGCCCTGGGCAGCCTGTGACAGAGATGGACAATGCTTTCCATGAAGAAATTCCTGCTGGTGTCCAGCCTGAGCCCACCCTGGCCCAGCCTGAGGCTGTTCCCTCTCCTCTGTCCCTGTTCCCTGGGAGCAGAACCCGACCTGTCAGGGAGTTGTGCAGAGCCACAAGGTCCCCCCTGATCCCTCTTTTCTCCAGGCTGAGCCCCTTCCCAGCTCCCTCAGCCCCTCCTGGTTCTCCAGCCCTTTCCCAGCTCCATTCCCTTCCCTGGACTCGCTCCAGCCCCTCCTTGTCCCTCTTGTCCTGAGGGTCCCAGAGCTGCCCCCAGCACTGGGGGTGTCCCTGCCCTCCCTCATCCCCCTGGACACCATTCCTGATCCAAGCCAGGTGCCTTTGGCTCCTTGCTCACCTCGAACCCCCGGGCTCATGTCCAGCTGCTGGCACCAGCACTCCCTGGGCCTTCTCCACAAAGAGATTCCCAGCCATGCTACCCCAGACCTGTAGTTTTCCATGGGGTTGTTGTGATCCCAGAATGGATAATAACCCAAGGGATGTACCAGGGCAGGAAGCTTTCCCTTCCCATCTGTAGTCCAGGCTCCCAGGGGGCAGCAGATGTCCCTGAGGAGTGTGTCCAGCCTGCACATTGGGCAGAAATAGCACAGAAAAGGATGCCGAGTAATACTCAACTGTCTTCTTTTTTTTTTTTTTTTTTTTCTTTTCTCATTTTTCTTTTCTCATTGTTTTTCCACTTTATTTGACTATTCCTTGATTAAAAGGCTGGGGCTTCGAATGTGACACTTTTTAGAAGAGCTGATTATGCATCACATAAACCTCTTGGCATTAGACAAAGATGCTGCTGTTAAAATTGAAGTTTGTATTAATGCAGCTTCAATCTGAACAGCAATCATTGTTATTAACAGTCATTCGAGGGAACGAGTTCATCTGGAAGACACTTCCTACTATATTTTCCATTCAAATGATAGCAGAAGGATTCAATGTATTTTCCAGCAAAGTTTCCTTAGTGATCCTTTTATTCGGGGGGTTTTATCCTGATCCCAGGCCTCTGGATCCTGCTTGGCCCTGGCTTCTGCATGGATTTGGGTTGCATCCCTCCATGGTTATTTTCTCATTATCTCTTCTAAAAATATTTTGCATAATTGCACTAAGCATTAGGAACAATGGATTTAACACAGCCTCAAGTCCCCAGCCATCCCTTCCCTTCAGAGAGCAGGATGTGCAGGGATGATGCAGGAGAAAGAGCCTCTTGTCTTCTAATCATGGCCTGCAGGTCAGTGTTAATTAACCTCCCCTGCAGAAAGGATCTCTCCTTGAGGAAGTGTGAAAAAGCTGGCAATCTGCAGAGTGGGAATGTGGCCTGGCAGTCGGAATGGGAGATGGAGCACCACGAGTGCAGGATGGAACCCTTCACCAGCAGCTTTGCTCTGCCCACCACCTCCCTGATTTTGGGAGAAGTCCTGGTTATTCATTGCAAAATGACATCACTTTTTCCACCAAAAGGCTCTAAAGACACGACTGGTGCAAATGCATTCCCAGATATTTATGGATGGCCAGCGTGGCACGGTCCAGAGGAGGGCTGTGTGTCCATCTGTCCTGGGGGAATCCAGTGCTGAAGGGTGAGGATTGTTATGGCTCAGCTGCATCCCTCTGGACTTCCCTCTGAGATGCCTTTTATTTCCTGCACATTCCAGAGGGCAAATCTGGCTGTGCCAGCTCCCATACCCAATGGACTTCTCTGGGAGGTGTTTCTGGGAGCCCTTCCAAAGCATTGGAGCCGTTTCTCTGGATTTCCTCCACTGGGTGACTGGAAAGAGCTGGAGCCCATCTGACATTTGCTGGTGCTGCCTTTGCACATCCACAGCCCCAGCTGAGCAGCTTTCCCTGCCAGCCTTCTCCCAAAAGCACCTGGAATACACGAGCCAAGAGCCAGTGTGCTGCTTTCCCCCAGCATCTGCCATTTCAGAATGAACTTCAGCACTTCCAAGGGGTGGCAGATCCTGCCTGGTGCCTGATTGTCCCTTTGTTTCAGTAGTCAGAGGTTGGTGAATTGTCACCACAGTGTCACCAAGAGGGTTGGGTGAGCTCTGTGCTGCTGAGACAACTTTGCTCGTGGCCCTTCATTTATTCCAACCTCGTGCTCCTCAGGTTTCTTTTCCTTTGGGAATTTTAGAGACCAAGCTTAGAAGTGCAGCACTGATACAGGTTGCCCAAAGAGGCTGTGGATGCCCCATCCCTGGAACCACGTTGGATAGGCCTTGGAGCAACCTGGGGTGATGGGTCACCTCCCTGCCCATGGTGGGACCAACCTGTTCTTCAGCATGACCCAGCAGCACGGAAAAAAGGGCAGATTTCCCAGCCCCGTGAGTTCAAGTGCTGGATTTTTTTTTTTGCCCAGATTCTGCTTCCCAAATGGAACAGCTCCACTTTGGCAGTCTCAGCTCCCCACGTGCAGTGAAGGCTGGCAGTTATGGAAGGGCAGCTGAAGGTCACCCCTCCATTTCCTCGTTATTAACATCCTTAAGAGGCAACGAGTGAGAGAGAAAAACGAGTCAAAGTTCATTATTCTCCTAATTAGCAGATTACACAAAAGTTCAGTAGCTTCCCCAGAATAAGAGTTAAAGATTGAGTTCACTCACCTGTCCCCACAATTAGCAGCTATAAAGGTGTCACAAGGAAATAAAGTGAGAGAAAGGAAAAGCTCTACTTCAATTTGCCCACACAGAAGATGCAGCTCTGCTGGGAGAGGGGGATGGAGCTCCAGGCTCCCGGATCTGCAGCTCACAAAGGAGACAGATTTAATACCCCACTGCAATTTTCTGGCAATTAGCCCCTCCCCAGAAGATGCCATTGACCTCATCAGCCTGGAGATGGAGTTTCACAGTTAATTTTTCCCAGTACCATCCTAATGAACAGAGGCAAAGGGGGAGAAGGAGGCAAGGAAAGGAAAGGAAAGGGATCACTCGGGGAATTTTCCAGTGGAGAAAGCACAGGGATGCTGAGAGGAGCACGGGGATGAGGTTTGATGAGGTCTCCACGTACCCAAACCCAAACTCTGTGTCTTGGGCGTGGGTGCCAATGCCTGTGTCATGTTTAGGACAGAAAACTACTTTTTTCAGTTTTTTGTTTTGCTGCCCAAAGCAGGAAAGAATCTGTGTCTCTACATCCAAAGCTGGCAGAAACAAAGATAATTTTCTGCTGTGTCCAACACTAAAAGCCCCAGAAAGGAGGGGGGAAAGTGAAACCTGTTCAACAGATGAAAAATCCCAAATAAAACAGCATTTCAAAACAAAAATGCCCAACACTTTGGTAATAAGGGAGTGAAACATCCTGATTTTCTCATGATGAAGAGGCTGCTAATGGCTGTGTGCCAAATTTTAGGCAGGTTCAGGTACACTTGGGATTGCTCCAAACGAGCGTTTCTGGCTGAGCAGATTTGGGTGAGCTGCCTTTCCTGAGCTCTCTCCATCCTTTGGCTGCACCTGCCCTTCTGATTTTCTCTCCCCACCGAGGGCATGGTGTAAATCCCAGGGATTCTTCATCACTCAGCTGTAATTATTCCAGGGAAGAAGGCTGCTTGCTTCACATATTCTTGTCATTTGCCCAGAGTGTGAAAACGTTCTTAATTTAGATGCCATGGCCATGCCATCACCTCCAGTACCTGTTTAATAATAAATCCTTCCGTGCCAAGACCTGGAGCTTCTCCTGAGGCCAGAGGAGGGACAAATTCCCATTCCTTATCTCTTGCAGAAGTTGGGGATGGTGCCACCCACACATGGGACTTCCCACACCCTCCTCAGCAAGAACTGGAAGGTTTTGATCTGATTACTTCAAAAAATGAGACTTAGGCCGTCTAAATTGTCCTGGGAGAAATCAACAAGGAATTCCTGGTTATTTAAAACAAAATTCCAAAGTACTTTTCCATACCCACGTTCTCTGTCCCACAGGGGCTGCGTTTTCATTTGCGTCTCTTACTGTAGGTATTATAAGTTAATGAAATAGAAATTGATCTTTAAAGGAGCACTTTTCAAGGTTCAGTTGCTATCTAATTAATTTAATTTTAAATTACATCAGTAATAAAGACTTAATTGCCTTCTTATCAATACATTGTATTTTGTAAAGGACATGCGGCTATTTGAACACGCCATCGCTTTCTTATAGTAGAATAATTGGTATTTTAAGCATACAACTATCATGGTAAGTGTAAAATATTTATTTGTGCACTTAATTTCAAGTGGTATCAAAACCTCAATGAACATGCAAATGTTCCAGCAGCTGCTGTTTAACTCCTTGCCTGCCTCTCCAGGAAAAACAAGGACTCCTCCATGTCAGGAAGAATGGCTGGAATATCAGTGTGGGGTGATATAAAGAATATTTGTATGGCTGCACCAATCTCTGATTGATAAGATTGCATCTTTTTAGGGCATGGGAGACAGTTTAGTAAATGTGACAGCTTAGGGTGGGGAACTGCAACTTCTGTCTCATTCCTAGTGGGGACTTTGAAGCCTCTTACCTTCATGTGAGTCTTATTTTTGTCTCTGAGATGTTTTTATAACCATTATAAACAGAATCACAGTAAAACATGGATGTGTTTTCTCTGACTGAAGATTCAGTAACTTCCCTAAGCAGATAAATCAACATCGAGCTTTACACCTTTCCTTAGCACAAGAGCTGGATTTTGGAGTGTATAAGCTGCCAGGAAGAATAATTAAATACACCACAACTACCTTTGATTTAAAAATGGCAAGGGGAGAAATTAAATCGTGCAGAAGCCACAACACATCCACAGAACTGTGTGGTAACTTGTCAACTAAATTAATTTCGAGCAGTTCACTTCAACCATAAAAATAATATAAGCTGTGATGTATTTCTTTCATATAAGTGTGTGTGTGTATATCTGTGTGTTATACAGCACCATTTAAAAATAGCAGCTTCTACCTGTGAAGTAGCAAAATCAGATGTTTCTGAACTGCTTTCAGACCTGTCATCACACTGTCACTATTTAGCTTTAATAGATGTTGAGTTTAAAATGCACCATAGAAATATGTATTTTTTAATGATACACAGTAAATGAGATTTGGGCCACTCTGATTTTTGTCATCTGCTTCCAGCCTCATGGCATAAGCTGTTTATTATTCGTATTATTCTGGTATTTAGTGGCCCATCTAAGATTAATATCTCATGGCTGTGTGCCTTTCCCACCCCATCCTGTGCTGGCCCTGCAGCTCTGCTGGCTCTGGGGGTGGCAGTGCCAGAATTTTGCCATCAGCATGATTTATCATGGCATTTATCATCTTTGCATTCCTGGTGGGGATTGGCTGTGACACTGCTTGGAAGGGTAGATACAAAAAAGGAAGAAGTAAGTTTTGGTTTCTCCACATTAATATCGGAGAAATTAAAAGTGAAAAAGGTGAAACATGCCACCTTTGAGAGAGGAATGTTGGGAACATCAGCCCTGCTCTGGTGGTTTTTCCATGGCTTTATCCTGCTGCAGCAGAGCCTTCAGAAGTGCTGGTGGTCAAAGCACAAGGTGTCAGAGGCAGGAGCTGACCACTGTGGTGTGGGGCTCTCCCATGGCCTCAGCTCCCACAGGAACCTGCAGAGCAACAATTCTGCAACACAAAGCTTTGATGCAGAGCACGGATGAGCAGCTCTTGTGATCTTCCCTCACCTTTATTCCCGTATTTCCCGCACGGACAGTAACTCAGTTTTGTCTCTCTTCCCAGGAGGTTTGTTTCTCCTGCTGGTGTTTCTCTTTGTGATGTGGAAGGAGTTTGCAGCTGACTTCCAGAAGTACATCCTTCTGGAGAGGAGTGAGAGGTGCCTGGATGATGTCCCTGTGCACGTTTACTACGGCTGGTCCTTCATGTTCGCCGCCGCTGGCGTGCCCCTGGTGCTGCTCTCTGGACTCCTCTTCTTCCTGGTGGGCAGAGACATTATGGATTCCCTGCAGTAACAGGAACGTGGAGAAGGCTTTGGGAAAATTGGTGATGCTCTTTGTAACGAAACACACCCAAGTTTTGAGGGCTTGATCGTTTTTGTAGCTCTAATTGTCGGGGTAGGTCGCACTCACTCTGGTGGGGAGGCAGGGATGGAGCACCGAGCATCCACAGAATCCCAGGAGGGTTTGGGTTGGAAGGGACCTTAAAACCCATCCAGTTCCACCCCCTGCCATGGACAGGGACACCTTCCACTATCCCAGGTTGCTCCAAGCCCCATCCAACCTGTCTTTGGACACTTCCAGGGATGAGGCAGCCACAGCTTCTCTGGGTACCCTCTGCCACCCTCCCCACCCTCACAGCCAGGAATTCCTTCCCAATATCCCATCTATCCCTGTCCTCTGGCAGTAGGATCCATTCCCTGTGTCCTGTCCCTCCATCCCTTGTCCCAAGTCCCTCTCCAGCTCTCCTGGAGCCCCTTTAGGCCCTGGAAGGGGCTCTGAGCTCTCCCTGGATCCTTCTCCAGGTGAGCACCCCCAGCTCTCCCAGCAGAGCAGAGGTGTCCGACCACTGCCCACCCCAAACCAGTCCCTGAACATCCAGCTCAGCCTTTTTCCACTTTGCAGATATTTCAGCACCTTGGTGGGGTTTGCACTGCTTTTCTCTGCAGCCCAAGGGAAAGCAGCTCTCTGTCAGCACAGCTCCACATCCATATTCAGCAGAGCTGGAGTTTTACAGCATTCCCAGCATCCTGGTTTCTTGTAAAAGGAAATCGAATCTGGCTGCAACGGTGCAAGCTATAATGTCTATTTCTAAAAAGCAATTAAGGATGATTTTTTTTTTCTTAGCATGCTCTAATTGACGTCAAAGGACAACCATTTTAATGGGATGTCGGGAAACATGGGAAACTTTTTTCTTCCTTAAAAGCCCCGATTCTGAAGATACAAATGTACCTGTTTCTAACCTAACTTTCAATAAGTGAATAAACCAATTTCTGTGGCTTGAAACATAACATGAATTAATTAGCATTTCTTTACAGCAATGCTTCACTCTGCATTTAATATTTTCTCTGGATGCAGTTTTGTGGGGATTCCCAACCCAAAAACTGAAAAGTGATCCCAGTTGAGGGAAAAGGAGGGGGGACAATAGCATGATACTGTGATATCACCTTGGGTTGTGCCTGTGCCCCATCAGTTCTTCAAGTGGCAATTTCTGACTATAAATTTGTTTTGAATAATTTTTGTCATTACTCTGAATTGAATATTTTCCCTGGACACAATCTGGGGAAGTTTCTCTGCCTAAAACCTGAATGATGGTGGGAGCTGGAGGAAGGAGAGTGCACTGGCATTTTTTTTTTTTGCTTTGTTTTGGTTGGCCCTTCCAGGCAGCTCAGCTGGGACCTTGTACACAGACACCTCACAAGAGTCAGATTCAAAAAGATAAATTATATAACATTTAAATACATCTAAATTCTTGCAGTCAGGTGATTGACTGACGTGGCAGTGACCCTACAAAGAACAATCACCTCCTAATTCTCCACCAAACTATCCGGGCACTGGGGGTGAAATAATTTGTCCTGAATATGCAGAGGTTTGTAGAGACACTTGAGAAATGACAAAGATTTGATCTTGTCGTGTGTTTTTCGGGCTGGAGCGTGGTGCTTTGAAGTAGTTTGTTGGGTCCTCGCTTGCTGAGCTCATTTGCATAAATTTTAAATCAAACTTCTCAAAAATGCGCCGTTCTCGTGGATGTCAGAGTTTGTGCTCAACTCACATCTCCCAAGCTTTATGTCACACTATTGACTCAGTGCAGTTAATTAATAATGGAATGTAAATCTCTGCTAGGAAGCGCTGAAGATTGTTGGCAGTGTAAAAATGTTTGTTAATGCTCTTCCTACAATATTATTCAAGTCTGGCGTTTCTTTCCTTTCGGAGCAAGTTCTAATTATTCTTTTACAAGATTCATGGCATACACAGAGTGAGAAATTGTAATTCCCCCATGTAAAGATTAGTTCTTTCATATGAATAACAGGCTTGGGCTACAGTTCTTAAGCAATATCCACACTGTTTTCCCTTAATAGAACTTTTGTTTGAATAGAATTGGGATGTGCAGGTAAAAATCGTGGTTTTTTTCCCAGTGAATGGATGTTTCATGACATTCCCAAATACACAGAGATTTTAGTGTTTTATTTGGCCAGTCTAAACTGTGGTTTTTTTTCCTGATTCTCCTTGGGTTATGCCTGTTCCCCATCAGTTCTTCAAGGGATAATTTCTCACTATAAATTCCCTTTGAATATTTTTTGTCATTTAATTATCTATTCAATGTGGAGATGAACACTTATGGTCACAAAGAATAAAAGTATATAATCCAGGAGCAGAAGAGGTCAAGATTTACAGTCACTTGCCTTTCACTGATCCCATAAAACAATCCAAGCATGCAGAAATGATGATCCCATAAGAGACACCAGGGCAGAAGAATGAGAATGCAGCAAGAAATCCATCAGACTTATTGATATCTGTGAAGCTGAGGATCCCTGAAGTTGTGAATATAGAAGTGAGTTTTATATTATAGAATGAAATATTTATTAACTTTCTCCATCTGTTCTTTAAAAAATTTAGTTTAATGTCATCAAGGCATTTATGGAATACATTTAGCTTAATCATGCATTCATGCCTTAGGGAGTAAAGCATCCCTGGAGACTTGCTCTTTCTGGATCAGCTCTAGAACAAGCAATAGTTTAAAATTCCATCATTCTTTGGGAACAAATCACGTGGCTTTAAGTCCTTCTTGAACAGAGGGCGTTTTATCTTAAATATCTGGTATTGAGCACATCCAGTTGCTGTCTGGTATTGAGCTGTTGGGTAACCTCATCAAATCCCCGGATTTCCCACAGGTTTGGAAAATCTCTCAATATTAGAAATATATCTGACAGTCACAACAATAAGAAAGAATGAAATTGTAGAGTTGCATAATTAAGCAATTAACTCCTTCATTAAAATTCCATGTTTATTGCCAGCACAGGGCCAAACACATCATTTTGGTGGATTAAAGAGTCCAATTCCTTTGCTCTCGAGTTTCTCGTGGCAAGTATAACTCAAGCAGACAAAAATTTGCTGTGAGAGTCATCATTTCCGTAGGAGAAATTTCAAAAAAAGGAACTCATGGGCTCAGTGGTAGAGCTGGAAATTGCAGAAACCACGGTTGCTTTCATCTGTTGAATGTGAAGTTTGATGAAAGGATATTATAGAGTAGTGACAAGGACCTAATTCTGATCCAAGTTTTGTCATTATAAATCATGAGTAATTCCGAAGGCTGCAGCAGACCCTTATCACTGCTAAACATCTGTAAGTCAGATCAGAACCGGGACTAATAAATACATTCAAAATGCATAATTAAAACAGTGATTTCACATCACTCTGATGAATTTTAGTCAAGGATTTCTTCAAGGATGCTTTTCTCACATTAGCATTTGATGTTAGTAAGCAATGAATAATTCCATTTTTTCTTTCCAACATCTGGGACACTTCCTGCTTTATTTGCTACTTACTGAGCACTCTGCAGGAAATATTAATGAATCCTGGGTGTTGAAACAGGGGCCCTGTGGATCGTGCTCAGGAGGCAGCCTTATGTAGGAGAGGTGTCTTGAGATGAAGAGCTTGGTTTTGGTGAAAGATGTTGGCAGATTTGCCAAACCTGAGGGAGACACAGGGGTTTGGGGAGGTTACCCAAAAGTCCCTCTAGAAACTTCTTTCATGGACCTCTTCCCTGAGCTCTTCCCTCATACCTTAGAGACAATTAATAATAAAAGTCTTTCCCCTTGGCCAGATCGGCTCTTTTTGCAATGATTCTGAAAGCCAACACCTGAGGATGCCCCAAGGGAAGGTGTTTGGGTCCACCTCAGCCAAGGAGAGATGGCCCAGGGGACCAGCCCACCCTGAGAGCATCACTGCCCTGCCCAGCTGCCTCTTCACATCTCCAGGGGAAACAACCTGGAGGTTTTTCTCTTTTTTGGGAAACCGTGAAGTTCTGTGTTTGAAGTGCTCTGCTGGCCCTTCAGAGGAAACCTGAGCTGAGCACCAGGAGAGCTTCCAAAGGAGGAATTAAAATCCTTCTGCCTTAGTGTGAAGTGACTTTGATAGTTCAGCATCTGACCAGGGGGGTGAGAAAACCCTCTGCCATGGAAAACAGGTAAATTGGAACTTGCCCAACTTCATTCCAGCTGGGTGTGGAGCAGCCCCTCTGGGATTTATTACAAACCTTTCCACTTTCTCTTCTTTTGTCTAGAAAAATTCATCTTATCTGTCCAAGTCATGTTTTGACTTTGGTTGGACACATTCCTTGGCTCCTGTAACAAAATGTGAGTGTGCAGGACCAGGATCCCCACTGGAGCTGCTCCTCTAAGATCCCTGCATGACCCAGGCATTGCTGGTGACCCCTTGTCCCCAAAGCCTGATGGAAGAGGGAAGTGCTGGGGTGTTCCATCCCTGTGGAAGATGCCCAGGGCTCCTTTCCTGCAGCAGCCCCATCCTGCTGGCTCAGCACCTCCTCAAGTGCCCCTTGTCCCTCAGACAGCACCAGGGGAAGGCTGGGGGGGAGAGGGCACAGATGTGGTGCAGCAAATGAAGGCACAAAGCAAATTAAAATAAATGGGGAGAGGGGAGCAGGCTCCACGGCCGGAGCACGGGGCTCTGCATTAGGGCAGGATTAAACTGGATCAGGCAGAGCCCCCTTTACAAGAGTGCACAGCACCTCAATCCCACAATCAATAAGCTGTACATGCTGCAGCACAAAGAGCTCTTATCTGCAGCACCACTTTGAATTTAGTGAATTTATTTAATCCCTGATGCCTGCAGAGCATCAGTCCTGTCTTCTGGGTTAATTTATTTATTCCGGTGATGTATTTTTAGTCTTTCAAGTCCTTGACATTTGAGAAGCAGACTTTTTTTCTCCCCCCTCGTTTCCTAAAAAACATCTGAATTGGAAAAAAATTATTTACAGAAAAGTATTTTTTTTTCCT